TCTACAATAAATCAAAATGAGCCGGGCGTGGTAGCACGCGCCTATAGTTCTAGCTACTTGGAAGGCTGAGGCAGAAGGATCACCAGAGCTCAGTAGGCTGAGGCTGTGGTGGCCGGGAGCGGCCACAGCACGCCAGTCTGGGTGACAGAGTGAGACTCCAACTCAAAAAAAAAAAAAGAAAGAAAAAGGAAGCACAAAGAGCCTGATTTCTGCAGCCACACCTTGCCCTGCGTTGCTGGGATCCTGACCCTTTCCTTCCCCTGCTGGGACCACCCTGAGACTGGCAGGGCTGCCTAGTTGGCAGGCTAAACCCCTGGAACTCACCGAGAGCAGGGACTCCCGTAGCTTCTCCACGAAATTCTCAGGGGGCAGGATTCCCAGGGCAGGTCTGTTGATGAATGTGCTCTGAAAAGGCCAGGAGACAGACTGTGACTTCTGGGCCCCAACACACTCCCTGCCCACCAAGGTCACCTTCCATAGCCCAGGCGTTCAAAGAGGCTCTGAATGGCGTTGCAGCTGATGACATTCTGTCAGTGTGGGGAATGACAGGCTCCCCTGAACTTCTAGAGAAATCCACTAGGGATACTTCCTATTTTTTTTGTGTGTCAATTTCCTGGTTGGGATATTGTACTAAAGTTGTATAAGATGATACTGGCTGGGCTTGATGGCTCACACCTAGAACACCAGCATTTTGGGAAGCTGAGGCAGGAAGCTCGCTTGAAGCCAGGAATTCGAGACCAACGCAGGCAACATGGTGAGACCTTGTCTTGACAAAAATAAAAAAATAAAAATTAACTGGCATGGGGGAGGCTGAGGCGGAAGGATCGCCTGACCAGGAGGTAGAGGCTGTAGTGAGCCCTAATCGTGCCACTGCACTCCAACCTGGGTGACAGAGTGAGACCCCAGCTCAAAAGAGTACATGTATTCTAAAATAAAAACTTGTAAGGCCAGGCGTTGTGGCTCACGCCTATAATCCCAGCACTTTGGGAGGCCAACGTAAGAGGATTGCCTGAGCCCGCGGGTTCAAGATCAGCCTGGGCAACTTGGCGAGACCTCGTCTCTACAATAAATCAAAAAGTTAGCTGGGCATGATGGTGTGTGCCTGTAGTTCCAGCTACTTGGAAGGCTGAGGTGGAAGGATCACCTGAACCCAGCAGGTTGAGGCTGTGGTGGCCAGGAGCGTGCCACTGCCCTCTAATCTGGGTGACAGAGTGAGACTCCAACTCAAAAAAAAAAAAAAAACCACCTTGTAGTTAATAAACAGGGAGGACTGTACTGGAATTTGGGGACTTCTCCCTCTCTCTGACATGATTAGTGTAATAAGCTCAATGGACTCCAAACAGCGGCATCACCGCATGGGGGAAAACCCAAGGACAGAGGGGACTGAGGGTGCTGAGGTCAAGCTCCTGAGGACTTTGGGACTTGCTGAAGCCCCTCAAAACTGGGCCGATCACTACCCTCTTGCATTTTCTGCTTTGTGGTCACCCAGGTGCGTCTAGGGTAAATAGAGGGAGTCAACCTTTCTCATGATAGAACTGGGGAAACTAAGGACCAGAGAAGTCAAGCAACTTGCCCCAAGTTACAAAGGCAAGAAAGGGCAGAATCCTGACTCAGACCTGGGTGTGCTGGCTTCAGACACCATCCTCTTTCAGAGCCTCCGGATGGCCTTCACCAGAAACAAGAATGCTTGGGGCCACCCGGAGACCCTGGCTGGCCTGCATGGGGCCTCAGGAGCGCTACCTTCTAGCTCCAAGTTGCCAGTGGGCTCTTAAGAAATCAGGGTCATCACGAGAACAGGGCGGAAGCAAGCTGCCATCGCTGGCAGCAGGGAGGTGGCCCCCAGAGGGGGACAGCCGGGCTGGCTGACTGCTTGACTGCCTATCTGGGCCCCGGAAAGACGTGGGGGTATGTTCCCGCTCGACAAAGCGTGGCATCAAGAACAGAAGATATCTGGGACATCGGGTACCAGGATCAAGTGGGGACAGGATTCTAGAATCCTTGCCACCAGCCCAGCAGTCTTAGAGTGCAGCAGGAAGACAACAGGCTTCGGTTTAAGTGGCTGTGCAACCTTGGGCGAGTCACTTGACCTCTCTGCGTGTCGAGGTCCTCATCTGCCAAAATGGGGACACCTTGCCAGGTGCTTGGAGGGAGCCAGTGAGATGAATGGCACACCGAGGACGCAGGGGCTCGTGAAGGGCCGCCTATGCAGGTAGACAGGTCTGGAGGTCACAGGACACACGTGTCTCAACTGGCCAGGCCTGCCCGGCCACGTGCATGTATTGTGCAGCTTTTTTTGAGACAGGGTCTGGCTCTCTCATGCAGGCTGGAGCGCAGTGGCACAATTCAGGTTCACTGAAGCCTCCCTCTCCTGGATTCAAGGGAGCCTCCCGCCTCATCTGAGGCTGAGAAGGTGTGAGCCCCTGTGCCTGGCCCCAGTTACAATTTCTTATGTCACCAAGGCCATCTCATTACATTGCCCACAAGTTACACAATAATGAGGTTGGGTGTGGTGGCTCACACCTGTAATCTCAGCACTTTGGGAGGCTGAGGCAGGAGGATTGTGTGAGCTCAGGAGTTAGAGTTTCGTCATCACAAAAAAATTAAAAAATGATCCGGGTGTGGTGGCGCATGCCTATAGTCCCAGCTACTCGGGAGGCTGAGGCGAGAGGATCAACTGAGCCCAGGAGTTGGAGGCTGCAGTGAGCTATGATTGCGCCACTGCACACCAGCCTGGACATGGAGCAAGACTCTGTCTCTTAAATAAATGAATAAATAAGGCTGAAGAAGAAAGCAGGAGCCTGCTCTCCGAAGGCTTTGCCTTTGATGTGGAGGAGGCCAGGACGAAGACAGTGGGGACGGTTTGGAGGAGGTGAGAGCAGGGGTGGGAAGCACCGAGAGAGGCTGCTGGCCAGAAGCCAAGTAGGAGGTAGAAACGCTGGGACCAGCCTCCCCCCAAGGTGGAGGGGAGAGGCGAGAGGTGGGCGGAGAGGTTGCTGGTGGGGTCAGGGACAGAGGGATGCCATCCCCCAGAATCAGAGTCCCTGGGCCTTGAAGGCACGTCTTGTTGGGGACAACTCTGCCTCTGGGGGCGGTTGACACTGCAAATGTGTCTGATGTGTTTGTTGACACATTTTTTTCAGCGCCAACTGCCAAAGCATCTGGGATCTGCACAGCGTTTCGAAACAAAGCTGGGCTTTGACTGTAAACACATCGTGGAGACTCCGGTCGCAGCCGGGCCTCATCAGACACTCAAGAGAACTCCGGTTTCCTCTACAGTCCCTGAGCCTGTGGGCTAACTGGGGGCTAGAATGTCCCCAGGCCCCTCCCAGGCAGGGCACACCTGTCGATAAAGGTGGAAATGGGTTCTCTCCTGTGAACTACAACTCTGTGGGTTAAAAAGGAAAAACAGGCCAGGCACGGTGGCTCATGCATATAATCTCAGCACATAGGGAAACCGAGGCGGGAGGATTGCTTGAGTCCAGGAGTTTGAGACCAGCCTGGGCAACACAGCGAGACCTCATTCCTACAAAAATAAAAAAATAAAAATTAGCAGGGCGTGGTGGCACAAACCTGCACTCCCAGCTACTCTAGAGGCTTAGGCAGGAGGATCGCCTGAGCCCAGGAGTTTGAGGCTGTGGTGAGCCGGGATCATGCTACTGGACTCCAGCCTGGGTGTCAGAGTGAGACCCTGACTCAGAAAATAGGGGGAAAAAACGCTTTAAGGGCAGGGATTCTCTTTCTGACTTTGGGCTTTGGGTTCTTCCTGCCTTTCTTAGATTTCATTTTGGGAATCAGCCTCCTTGTTGTGTGTGGACGAGTCTGTAACTCCCTGAGTCCAAGGAAAACCCTCCAACGATATTCCATGTTGGTGGGAAAGAGGGGCAATTGGAATGCTCACCCTGCCAGTGGGAGTGGAGTCAGTACTGTGTGGAAAACTGTCTGGCAGGATCTGCCAAGCCTGAACACGCACTTGCGCCGTGGCTGGCAGTCCCATACCAGCTGTGTACCCAATGCGTGGGTGTGTTCACCAAGAGACACTCGATGGGTCACAGCAGTGGTCTCAGAGAGCCCTGCATTGGGAACGTCCCAAGTGCCCATCGGTGGGTAAACTGATTGCGGTCAACTCACACAGTGGATGGCCATGAAGCCATGAGGATAGACCGTCTGTGGCTACTCACAGAGGTGAGTCACACAGACCTGAGTGAAATAAGCCAGGCAAGGTCAAGGGTACACACTCCAGGAAGGAATCCCTCTTCTGTGGCTATAAGGGGCAGAAGAAACGCATCTCTTGCCTTCTGGCAGGGGACTGTCTACCTAACGTGGCTGGGGAAGTCGTTCCTGGGTGGGGGCAGGTTCTGAGATCCCTGTTACCATCTGTATATCCTCACCGAGGGTGAAAACAACCTTACGCTGTTCTGTGAAAGCACAGATGTCAACATAGTACACACAGAGTGGATCTGTGTGCAGGAAGCGCAATCATGATCCCAAAAGATGCCACACCCTCATTGCATCCCTGGGACTGTGGACATGGCACACGGCAAAGAGGACTTGGTAGACATCATGAAGGTCCCCAATGGTTAAGACAGGGAGATGATGCTAGATTTCCCGGGTGGGCCCGGTGCAACCACAGAAGCCTCGGATGGCAGAGGTAGAAGAGGGAGACATAGACAGGACCAGGCCTGTCGTTGCTGGGGTGAGGGTGGAGGGGCCGTGTGGACACTGAGAATGAAATGACTTTGTCAGCAACTTGAATGAGCCCAAACCAGATTCTCCCCAGAGCCTCTAGTTGACAGCCCAGCGGGCCAAGTCCTCAAGTTCAACTTTGAGAGACTCTAAGCAGAGTGCTCAGCTGAGCCCACCGGGCTCCCGGCCCACAAATACTGGGAGATGGTACATGGGTATTGCTGTTTGTTTTAAATGGATAGGTTTGTGATCATTTGCTGCAGCAGCGATAGAAAACTAATACACAGTGGTATTAAAATTTCATGATGGGAGCCTGGTGTGGTGGCTCCTGCCTATAATTCCAGCACTTTGGGAGGCTGAGGCAGAAGGATGGCTTGATCCCAGGAGTTGGAGACTCCCATCTCTACAAAACATAAAAATTAGCCAGGCATGGTGGCATGTGCCTGTAGCCCCAATACTTGGGAGGCTGGGATTGGAAGAATCGCCTGAGCCCAGGAGGTTGAGACTTCAGTGAGCCATGATTGTGCCACTGTTCTCCAGCCCGGGTGATGAAGTGAGCCCCCCGACTCAAAAAAAAAAAAAGAAAATTTAAAAAGTTTCTGAGGCCTGGCGCAGTGGCTCAAGCCTATAATTCCAGTGCTTTGGGAGGCTGAGGCAAGAGGATTGCCTGAGTCCAGGAGTTCGAAACCAGTCTGAGCAACTTGGTCTTAATAATGTCTTAAGGCAGGGGGCCCCAACCCCTGGGCCACAGACAGATACGGGTATGTGGCCTGTTAAGGAATGGCACCACACAGCAGGAGGTGTGTGGCAGGCCAGCGGAGTTCTGTCTACTGTCGGATCAATGGTGGCATTAGATTCTCAAAGGAGCACAAACCCTATTGTGAGCTACGCATGGGAGATGTCCAGGCTGTCCCTGCCCCCCATCCATGAAACCAGTCTCTGATGCCAAAAAGGCTGAGGACCGTTGTCTTAAGCGATGATGATGAGAAAAGCAAGTTGAGAAACAGGAGGCTCTGTGGAAAATTTGCTGAGCAGTGCATTTAGGATGCACACAGGGCTGCATGTGTGTTAGACTATGTGTAACCATGCAGCATCCTTCCACCTCTCTCAGGATCAAGACTGAAGTCTTCTGCCACAGGAGGCGGCGGTTCTCAGCCGACTTGACTGACCCCCCAGGGGACATCTGGCCATGTCTGCAGACATTTTGGGGCATCACAACTGAGAGACAGATGCTACTGCCATCTAGTAGGTGGAGGCCAGGGATGCTGCTAAACGTCCCACCGTGGGTGGTCCCACACCAGAATGTTTCTAAAGGCTGAGCTTGTGAAGCCCTGGTCTAGGTGGTGTCTCAAAGCCCTGTGCCCCTGCTCCTCCCGTCCCCCAAGGACCCCTTCCCGCTCTCTCTGTCCCGGCCATGCTGCCGCCCTCCCTCCTGCCCTCCTTTTCGGGCTGGGACCCCTCCTCCCACACATGCTGATAGGCCATTTCCCCCTCTTCAGGTGTTGGCTCAAACGTCACTCGCTGGGAAGTCTTCCATGAGCCCTGGCCCTTCCACTCCAGAGTGGTTCAGCTCCTGTGGGTTCATTCCTAGCACCTCCACGTGTGACCTGGGCAAATACTTAACCTCTCGGTGCCTCAGTTTCTACATCTATAAAATGGGGATAATAAAGAGTATATGCTTCATAGATTTGTCAATATTACAGCTGAACACAGTGTTGGGTACACGTGTTTCATAGATGTCAGCCACTATTATTTTATGCCCACAAGCACTGCCTGCCTTACTCTGTAGCATGTAATACGGTTTTAATTCTCTCTCTCTCTTTTTTTTTGAGATGGTCTCATTCTGTCACCCAGGTTGGAGTGCAGTGGCATGATTATGACTCACCGCAGCCTCAACCTCCAAGGCTCAAGTAATCCTCCTGCCTCAGCCTCTTGAGTAGCTGGGACTTCAGGTGTGCATTACCACATCTGGCTAATTTTTCTATTTTTTTGTAGAGATGGGGGTCTCCCTTTGTTGCCCAGGTTGGTCTCGAACTCCTGGGCTCAAACAATCCTCCCACCTGTGTGTTCTTCTGTGGGGACTTCCTGTGTACAAGGTTATGTCATCTTCAAATCTAGTTTCACTTCTTCCTTTCTAATCTGGGTGCCTTGGATTGATTTATCTTATATAATCACCCTGGGTGGAACAAGCAATCCTCCCACCTCGGCCATGGTCAGCTCTAGTTCTCTATTTATGTGTGGTGAATTGACTGTCCCCATGAGAATGGGAGCACTATTTTCTGCTCACAAGGCATTCTACATGCCTGGCGCATAGCATGGACTCAATAAATATATACGGAATGAATGAATGAATGGACTATTTCTTTTTTGAGTCGGAGTCACACTCTGTTGCCTAGGCTGGAGTGCAGTGGCATGCTCAAGGCCACCATAGCTGCAACCTGCTGGGCTCCGGCGATCCTTCTGCCTCATCCTTCCAAGTAGCTGGAACCACAGGCATGCGCCACCACGCCCAGCTAATTTTTTGATTTATTGTAGAAATGAGGTCTCACCATGTTGCCCAGGCTGGTCTTGAACCCATGAGCTCAGGCAATCCTCTCACCTCAGCCTCCCAAAGTGCTGGGATTAAAAGTGTGAGCCACCATGCACTGCTGAATGAACTATTTCTAAAGGCTGCTCAGTAATTCTGCAAACAGCCATGAACACGTTTGGTCTTTACTCTGCGTTGCCTGGAAACCTACCACATTCTGAGGCTGTTGGATGAGCTTCACCAGGGCAGGATGGCTGTAACCTGTGGAGAGGAGGGGACAGTCAGTGATCAGCATCACACCTGAGGGTTCCATGTCCCTCCCTTGTCCTCTGCACCCCCCCTCCCTTTCCAACCCTGCAACTCTCCACAGGCCAAAGGGTCCCTTATCCTTTGCAGACAAAGAGATCCCTGGGGCCCACCCAAGACCCCAACTCAGAATCTCTCAGGGTGCAGCCTAGAGATCTCTAACAAATTCCTTAGGAGACTGGGATTCAGGTTCCAGCTTGAGACCTACTGAGTAGATACATTGTGAGGGGAGCTGAATGCCAGGTCAAAGCTTGTCTCACACACAGCTAATGTCATGCTTGGTGGTAAGAGACAGGATGTGTCCTCCCCAGGGAGGAAGTCACGTCTATTCAACATTTATTAGAGGTTCCACCTATGGTGATTAGACAAGGTAAATCAATCCAAGGCACCCAGATTAGAAAGGAAGAAGTGAAACTAGATTTGAAGATGACATGACCTTGTACACAGGAAGTCCCCAGGAATCTACTAAGAAATGCTATTAGTGCTGATAACCCAGTTCAGCAGAGTTGCAGGATGAAGGATCAACATAAAAAATCAAGTGCAGGCCGGGCTCAGTGGCTCAGCCTGTAATCCCAGCACTTTGGGAGGCAGAGACGAGTGGACTGCCTGAGCCCGTGGGTTCGAGACCAGCCTGCGCAACTTGGCAAGACCTTATCTTTACAAGAAATAAGAAATTAGCTGGGTGCGGTAGCGCGTGCCTGTAGTTCCGGCTACTTGGAAGGCTGAGACGGAAGGCTCGCCGGAGTCCAGTAGGTCAACGCTGGGGTGGTCATGAGTGTGCCACTGCACTCCAGCCTGGGCCACAGAGTGAGATTCCAACTAAAGAAAAAAATTAGCCAGGTGTGGAAGCGTGCTCCTTTAGTTCTGGCTACTTGGAAGGCTGAGGCTGCAGTAGCTATGAGTGTGCCACTGCACTCTGGCCTGGGCGACAGAGACTCCAACTCAAAAAAAAGAAAAAAAATCAAGTGCATTTCTATACACTTGCAGTGAACAAGCCAAAAGTGGAATTAAAGAAAGATCACGAGACTGGGTGTGTTGACTTCCACCTGGAATCCTAGCACTTTGGGAGGTTGAGGCAAGAGGATCATTTGAGGTCAGGAATTTGAAACAAGTCTGGGCAGCATATCAGGACCCTGTCTCTATTTTGAAGTCAAAATTTTTTTTTTTTAAATTGGGCCAGATGTGGTGGCTCATTTGTGTAATCCCAGCACTTTGGGAGGCCAAGGTGAGAGGACTGCTTGAGCCCAGGAGTTGGGGATCAGCCTTGGCAACACAGTGAAACTTCATCTCTACAAAAAAATTTTAAAAAATTAGTTGGGCTAATTTAAAAATTTTTGTTTTAAATTTAAAAAATTAGTCCCAGCTACTCAGGAGGCTGAGGTGGGAGGATTGCCTGAGTCCAGGAGGTCGAGGTTGTAGTGAGCCGTGATTGTGCCACACTGCCCTCCAGCCTGGGCGACACAATGAGACCTCGACTCAAAAATACAAATTTTCAAAAACATGTACTGCCTGGCATTGTTAATTAACTTGTCTGCCTCCCCTTACCGAGCACAAACTACAGGCCAGGCTCTGGGCTAAATGCTTTATAAACACGAGCCCACTTAATCCTGCCAGGGGCCTCCAAGGCATCTCCAGCTCAGGATGCAGATGGGAAAGGGGGGGAATGCCCAGAGGCCGAGGCACAGGCTGGCATGGAACCCGGGACATTCTGGCCCGAGGCCGTGCAGGGCTGTCTCTAACCTCCCTCCTGTTACAACCAAAGCTTCCTCTTCCTGAGCATCTGCTATGTGCTTTCTATCATTGTTGCAGGAAGGCCAAGCCTCAGGAGGAGGGAGGCACTGAGGCCCCCAGACCAGACTCTGAGGTCCTGAGAGTCGGGGGCTGAGAGTTCAGCTCAACTGACTTTGGCAGAATGAACAAACAGGATGGAGATGCAGCGCTATGGGCAAGATTTCAAAAATGTCACCTATGAGGAAAGAATCGCCTGTGAACGTGAACCTCAGAGTGGGAAGTTGACTTGGGAGGAAAACTCTTGGTCTTTAAGTATCATCATTTTATTTATTTATTTATTTATTTATTTATTTATTTATTTATTTGAGTCGAGGTCTCACTCTGTCTCCCTGGCTGGAGTGCAGTGGCAGGGTCATGACTCACCGCAGTCTCCATCTCCTGGACTGAAGCGATCCTCGCACCTCAGCCTCCCAAGCAGCTGGGACTACAGGTGTGTGCCACCATGCCCAGTTAGTTTTTAAAAATTTTGTAGAGATGGGGGTCTCACTTTGCTGCCCAGGCTGATCTCAACCTCCTGGACTCAGACGATCCTTCCACCTCAGTCTCCCAAAGTGCTGAGATTGCAGGCATGAGCCACTGCATCCGGCAAGTATCACCATTTTATCATATATAACTTGTACCTATTTTCTTGAAACCAATTCATTGTTCAATTTAAAAACATTTATTTGAAGGGAGACTTTATATCACTGTGGTCAGAGGTTGAGGGCAGTAGGAACAATCTTTTTTTTTTTTGAGTTGGAGTCTCACTCTGTCACCCAGACTGGAGTGCAGTGGCTGCTCCTGGCCACCGCAGCCTCAACCTGCTGGGCTCCGGCGATCCTTCCGCCTCAGCCTTCCAGGTAGCTGGAATTACAGGCATGCGCTACCAGGCCCGGCTGATTTTTTTATTTATTGTAGAGATGAGGTCTCGCTGCCCAGGCGGGTCTCGAACTTGCAGTCTCAGGCAATCCACTCACCTCAGCCTTCCAAAGGCGCGGGATTACAGGCTGAGCCACCGAGCCCGGCTAGTAGGAACAATCTTAATGTCACCTGCCCAAGGCTCTGAGCCTGGGGTCTGCGTTCTTTCGTGGTAAGAGACTGGGAAATTAGACAGGTATGGGAGACCCGGCTTCACCCAGAGGAGACTTTCTCCTTGATAGAATCAAAAAGAGTGAAAGTGATGTGAAAATCCCCGAGGTTCCTCCCTGCCACTTTGGGAGGGTGGAAGGGGAAGGGGGAGCAGAAGGAGGGACACCCGGGGGAGAAGGCTGTTACATTCCTCACCCGACTCCGCCACCCCACTCCAAGGCATGAGGGCCCAGGGCTGGAAAGTGCCCGTTACTCAAGAAAGGAACACTCTGGGCTTTTCCAGCTGCTTTTCTGGCCAGAGGTCTCTAAGCTCTGGCTGCTCATCTTACTGCCTGTGTGCTTGGCTTTTCTGCCTCAATAGATAAGCCCATTCCAGGTAAATCTCATTAAGTCCCAGATGCAGCTTGTCTTACTGGCTTCTGCAGGAGGGGTGAAACAAGAACCAGTTGGTTCCTCTGATCAGGAAAACCCTGCCCGGGCCTTCCATGCTGTGGGACCCCCACATCCCTGGGCCAGGACAGGGGCAGGATCTGTGGGACTGCTGCCCTAGGAATAAACTCAGGAAGCAGAGTCATCGGTTCCCATCTGGCTTAGCCTTAGAATCCCTGGACATGCTGGGCAAACCCTGCAATCTTTTAGACCCGGCCCCCTCAGTGAACTGGGGGTGATGTCCCAGCTATGGGACGGTTGTAGCCATTTAATGGGATAACAGGGAAGGCGCTTTGCAAGATGCCAGGCCTATAGTAAATCCTCAGTAAGTATTAACTTCCAAAAAAAATCTTCACAAAGACTACAGATAAGGGAGAAAAGGTGGCCAGAGGAAGAACTTGTAGAACTTCTAGTTTCTTTAACAACTGCTGCCAATCTGATCTCCCACTGAATCTGTCCTCAGAGCGTTAGGAGGATTCTGGATAGAAATATAATCATAACTCAGCACTAATCAGGTTTCTCGATGCCCCAATTCCTGTAACCAAAGTTTCTTAGATACTGTTTGCATCCCTGCTTTTTTTCCCCTTGTAGATAGGAGTTCTGACATTAGAATCATAAAGCTTTTATTTAAGAACAGCTTAAGATATTTTTCAGATCACGAATTCCAGCAAAACAGCTGATGCCAACCAGTCTATAGAGGAATGGGGTTAGCACTAGAATATAGTTTCGCCTCCCTGTCCCATGGCTTCATCCCACAATCTTCCACCAATCAGCAATACTCACAATTTGGCCCTTCCCAAACCCTTAGAAACTCTGGCCCCAAAGCCCTTGGGGAGAGGGATTTGAGGTTCCCTCCCATGCCCTCTGTGGCAGCCCCACCGTTAAACCTTTCTCAGCTGCAATCTGGTGTCTCTTGCCACACGCAACGAGCAACAGGCCTGTTATGGGTACACCCACTGGCGGCAGGGCATTCACCGTGAGGGAGTCCGGGGGGTGCACAGTTCCACAGCTAATATGGCAAAGCCAGAATTTGAACCCAGAATAGCTTAAGCCTATCCATTCCACTCCAACATAGAGAGGAGACAGGGTTTTATACCATACATACATACATACATATATATATATATTGAGTTGGAGTCTCACTCTGTTGCCCAGGCTGGAGTGCAGTGGTGCAGTGGCACTCACAGCCACTGCAGCCATGACTTGTTGGGCTCAGGCGATCCTTCTACCTCAGCCTTCCAAGCAACTGGAACAACAGGCATCTGCTACCACATCTGGCTAATTTTTGAGTATTAGTAGAGATGACGTCTCGCCAAGTTGTCTGGGCTGATCTCAAACCTGTGGGCTCAAGTAATGCTCTCATCTCAGCCTCCCAAAGTGCTGGGATTATAGGCGTGAGCCACCGTGCCTGGCCTATAACATATTTTTTGAGTTGGGGTCTCACTCTGTTGCCCAGGCTGGAGTGCAGTGGCATGATCACAGCTCACTTCAGCCTCAACTTCCCGGGCTCAGGCAGTCCTTCCTCCTCAGCCTCTAGAGTAACTGGAACTATAGGCGTGCACCACCACACCCAGCTTTCATTTTTTTTTTTTTGAATTGTAGTCTTACTCTGTCACCCAGGCTGGAGTGCAGTGGCATGCTGACGGTCACCGCAGCCTTGACCTGCTGGGCTCAAGTGATCCTTCCACCCCAGCCTTCCAAGCAGCTGGAACTATAGGTGCGCGCTACCACGCCGGGCTAACTTGGTGAGATGAGGGCTCACCAAGTTGCCCAGGCTGGTCTCGAACTCAGGCAATCCTCTCACCTCGGCCTCCCAAAGTGCTGGGATTATAGGCACGAGCCACTGCGTCTGGTCCCACCTTTCATTTTGAAATTTTTTGGTTGAGACAAGGTCTCACGATATTGTTCAGGCTGGTCTCTAACTTCTGGGCTCAAGCCTTAGCCTCCCCAAGCACTGGGATTACTGCACAGGTGTGAGCCACCATGACCAGCTGGTTTGCCTTCAATGGCTGAGACTGCTCTAAATGATGGACTTCCCCCAAAGGCTGAGTCATCCGCTTATGGTCTAATCACATGGCAGTGGGAAATAAATGGGTTCGAGGACATGGGCTGGGGGGGGTCAGGGAGGACTGGATCCCTGGGGTGGGTCTCAGGGAAAGGCCCTGGGCCGCTGATGGGCGGGGGCGATAGCTTGGATGGAGTGGGGAAGACTCTCGTCTCGTCAGCAGCACACAGACCAACATCTGCAAACATCAGACACAGCCTGATGACCAAGAAGGCAGTCGGGCGTCCATCAGCCAAGGAAACCCTAACCACTGGAGCTGCAAAAAGAGCCCCGTCGCTGGGCTCGGTGGCTCAGCCTGTAATCCCGCGCCTTGGGAGGCTGAGGTGAGAGAAATGCCTGAGCCCGCGGGTTCGAGACCCGCCTGGGCAACTTGGCGAGACCTCATCTTTATAATAAATCCAAAAAAAAAAAATTTATCCGGGTGTGGTAGTGTGCGCCTGTAGTTCTGCCTACTTGGAAGAAGTAGAATTCTGCCTACTTGAGGCGGAAGGATTGCCGGAGCCCAGCAGGTTGAGGCTGCGGTGGCCAGGAGCAGCCATTGTACTCCAGTCTGGATGACTGAGTGAGACTCCAACTCAAAAAAAAAAAAGAGCCCTGTCTATCCTGTCATCAGTGTGCCCTTCGACATGTCGAGTCCCACTCTGTGCAGCATGGAGGTCAGCTAGGGAGGCAGAGGCTGTTGGCGCCCCACACCCCCTGGGTCACTGTCTCCCAGCTGCTGTCTCTGTTGACTGATAATGGCTCCAGCTGCCTCCACCTCTGGAAAATCGCCCTTGGCGAAAGGAAACCACTCAGCATAGGAGATGACATACGGTCTCCCCTCGGACAGGCGAGGACTCACCGGCGCCGGGTATGGAAAAGCCAGCCCCGCTGCCTCAGTCTGGAACTGTCTCTGGTATAGAGGCTGAGGACAGTCTCTAGCTGAGACCTGGTCCTTCATACTTCTGTCCCCACACTAGGCTGCTCCCCCTCCTCCCCTCTCTCCCTTCTCAACTATGTGCAGAAGAATCCCTGCCTCGGGCTCTTCTTCCAGGAAACCCAAGCTAAACCCTGCATGGTGGACACGGTGGACACGCAGACCTAGACTCGCATTCTAGCTGTGATGCCTCTGCAGCTACTAAGCCTCCTAGACCTCCCCAGCCTTTGTTTACCCATCTGCAAAATGGAGATATTCATTAATATCTCCCTCGTGGGGTTTTGGGGAGGAATAAAGACTTGTAAGATGCCTAATAAGAGACCCTCTCAGCTGGGCGTGGTGGCATCTGCTTGTAAGTTCCAGTTACTTGGAAGGCTAAGGTGGAAGGATCGTCTGGGCCCATCAGGTCGAGGCTGCCGTGGCTGTGAGCGTGCCACTTCACTCCAGCATGGGTGGAGAGTGAGACTTGGATTCAACAACAACAAAAAGAGACCCTCTCCACCCCACATGACCGGTCTTTCTCCCTGCTCCTGAGGGGAGTGTCTCGCAACACCTTGGGATATGCCCGTTGGAAGGAAAAGGCCCGGGTAGCCATGACCATGACCATGGGTGAGGGGTAGGAGGGTGCATTCAAGGATGGGCTTTCCAGCTCTTACCTATGGGGACAGAAGAGATCTGGGAATAAAGATCCAGCATTCGGTTGCCATCCACGTCAACCAGGTAATTGCCTCGGCTCTCTTCGTAATTGCAGAAGAAATGCACAGCCTCTGCATTCTTGGGTAGAGAAGAGACCAACTTAGGCTCGCCACAGCTCCCTGGGGCCCTACCTCTCAGGATGGAGTTTGAACCGGTGAAGAAGACCGCGTCTTGTGGAGTCTACAAATACGTAGGGGTATCTGTGGGTGCTACAATGTTGTATTTTTTGCTTTGGGGTATCACATGGGTAGTTTGCTTTGTAATAGTTCATTAAGGCCAGGCACGGTGGCTCAAGCCTATAATCCCAGCACTTTGGGAGGCTGAGACAAAAGTATTGTCTGAGTCTAGGGGTTCGAGACCAGCCTGGGCAACTTGGTGAGACCTCATCTCTACAATAAATCAAAAAATTAGCCAGGTGTGGTAGTGCATTCCAGCCTGGGTGACAGAGTGAGATTACAACTCAAAAAAAACCAAAAAAACACACAATAGTTCATTATATTTTCTGAATTTTCCTGTGTTTTATTTTATTTTATTTTATTTTTTGAGTTGGAGTCTCACTCTGTCGCCCAGGCTGGAATGCATTGGCTCGCTGCTCACCGCCACCACAGCCTCGACATTGGGCTGGGCTCAGGCGACCATTCCGCCTCAGCCTTCCAAGTAGCTGGAACTATAGGCACGTGCTACCACACCCAGCTAATTTTTCTAGATTTATCATAGAGATGAGGTCTCACCAAGTTGCCCAGGCTGGTCTTGAACACCTGGGCTCAGGCAATCCTTACCTTGGCCTCCCAAAGTGTTGGGATTATAGGCATGAGCCACTGCACTTGGCCTCCTGTATTTTATATATCAGAACAAAGAAGGTTGAGGTGGAATTTCTGGCAAGACATATACGCTACACCTTCAAGCAACTTCTAGGAAAACTAAAAATATATAGCAATCATTAAAGAAATAAACACGTTATGCTAGATAGTATTTACTTAATGTAAAATAAAAAACAAAAGAGAAACAGAGGAACGAAAAGGACAGAAGATATATATGGGGAAAAAGTAAAATGGCAGACATTGATACATACATAACTGTGAATGAATTAAACAATCCAATCAGAAGTCAGAGATTATCAGACCACATAAAAAGAACCGACTATATGCTGATTACAGGAGACACACTTCAGATTCAAGAATACAAATATGTTGACAGGAAAAGGTATTTAATGCTCACAGCAATGCTAAGAAAGCTAAAATGGCTTATTCTAGTAGCAGACAAAATAGACCATAAAACAGAAACACGTTACTAGAGATAAAGAGAGACATCTTATAATGACAGAAGAGTTGGCCCACTAAGAAGATATGACAGTTATAAACATATTTGCATCTAACAACAGAATTCTGAATACATGAAGCAAAACTGGACTGAATCAAAGGAAAAAATAGTTCTACAATAACTGTTGAAGTCTTAGGATCTGGTGTTCAATAATGGGGAGGGGGGCCAGGCAGAGGATTAGCCAGGAAATAGAAGCCTGAGCCCAGGGGTTTGATACCAGCCTAGGTAACTTGGCAAGACCTCACTTCTATAATAAATAAAAAAATTAGCCAGGTACGTGAACCTGTAGTTCCAGCTACTTGGAAGGCTAAGGTGGAAGGATCGCCTGAGCCCAGCAGGTTGAGGCTGCGGTGGCAGTGAGTGTGCCACTGCACTCCAGCCTGGGCAACAGAGTGAGAATCCAATTCAAAAAAAAAAAAAAAAAAGAAAGGCTCCATGAATTTAACAAGACTGAAGTCACACAAAATGTGTCTCAACCACAATGGAATAAAACTAGAATCAATAACAGAAAAAAAATTGGTAATTTACAAAAAGTAGAAATTAAACAGCACATAACCAATGGGTCGAAAAAGAAATCATAAGGGAAATTAGAACAAAGGTTTAGAACAAAAGTCAACTAACTGGGTTTTTTGAAAAAGCCTGAACAGATGCAGAATCTGTCCCTTAGCTCAAGTGTAATAAAGAAGTGACAGATGGAATATTAGCTTAGCCCTGCTTACCTGAATTATATTCAGTTGTTTCATTAACTCCTGTAGGCAAGAAGAACAAATGCATTATAGCAAGTACCCACTCTTGCCACAATAGCTGAAAATCTTTCACGTCTTCCTACGCCTTGGCATTTTCTTCTCTCTTCTTAACAACTTTATTAGTCAACAATATTACAAATACTTAAGAATTACTTGATACAAATAGTAGATGGGAAACTATTTCAACACACTGTTGAATTACCAGTACAACAGACTGGAGATTTAGATACTTGGAGGATAATATAAACTAAAATATTTAGAAAAAACAAATTAAAGCTGAAGGTCTTTATCTAGTATCCATAAACACATAGGGTCTCTTTTTGTTTGGGGAAAAAAAGGACTCCAACATCCCATTAAGAATATAAAATAAAACAACTGAAAATACTAATTTGCATATCAAAGAACTATTTATAATTACAATCCAGCCACTCCATAAACCACTTGTGCAATTCTATAAAGAAACAGGGAATTAGAAACTAGTTGCTCTGATCTTACAAATTGTATTTCAGATACAATTGTATATTTCTATAAAAAATACAGAATAATATTAATGACAAGAATGTGAAAAGTTATTCCAAGAATTTCACTACTATTTACATTAAAATCCACTTTCTCAATAGAAATAAGCATGAAAAATCACACTTTTGTTAGCAAAACTCTATCCAAAATAACTACAATAATTTGCATTAGTACAAAGATTTCTGGCTTTATAAAATAGTTGCAATGACAAAAGAGTATCTCTTGACAGAAAAAAAGTGGCGCTTAAAAAAAAAAATGCAAAGACAAAAAGAAATGTGCACTTAAAAGGTTTACACTGTTATCCTCTTGCCTAGAACAAAATGCTCTCCTTTGTCAAATTCCTCCTCCATCTCCTCCAAGACCAAGTTCAAGGGCATTGAGATCCAGGCCCTGTGCCGTAGGACACTGCCATACTCTTCCACTGCTGTTAGATGTTCTACCCTAGCCCTTGGTGCTGGACTTAAGGCAAGCTCTGCGACTTGCTTTGACCAGCAGAATGAGGTGGGCGTGGCGATGGGCCGGCATGGGGTCCAGGCCTTGACAGACCTTTCGCCTGCTGTCCTCTTGCTTCCATATCTTTCTGCCATTGCCATGAGAACAAGCCCAGGCTTGTTCTGCTGGAGGATGCGAGACGCATGGTGCAGAGCCAAGTTACTACAGTGATCCAAGACAAGCCTAACCTCCAACAGACAATAGTCAGACAGCCCCCAGGCATGTGCACCCAAAACAGCTGCCTGTCCTACTCCCAGCTACCCCTAGACGCATGAGGACTTGGGATGCCGCATGTTATTGAGGTTTCTATGGCTGGTTGTTATGTGGCATCATGGTGGCAATGAATAACTGATACATCACCTCTGCGAAGGCTTCTTTGACCTCTTCTGGCAGAATGGCCAGGCTCAATGTCCTGGATTTTTAGTGTGAAGTCTCTAAAAGCAGCTAACAGCTTAAGTCCCTACGTCTGGCTGTGTTCTTGCCTTCTAGACCCCTCTGTCCCATTTACAAGACACACCATGTGGTTGTGCCCAACTCACCCGAGACCTCGGCCCTGGGACTTCTGTCTTCATCAGAGGCCCATCATAATCAAATTCAACATCGACTTTGGCTGCGGCTTGACTGATGTGCCTGGATCCTGCAGTAAACAAAGACCATAAGAACCCAACTCCTGGTGATAGCAGAAATAATGAGAATTCTGCCCTAACAGACGTTCAGTGTCCCCAATAGGACCTCGACCTGTCCCTGCCAGACCACCCCAGAATACTGTATCTGGACATACCTGGGCATTAAAGGGACACAAAAGATGTTAAAAATAGGAAAACTCAGTGCCAGCAAAGTTGTAGGCAAACAGGCAGGCTCCTGTTTTACTGGCATGAGATGCCAGCTTGCAACTGAGCAGTTTTTTTGTTTTTGTTTTTTTTTCCTTAGGATTTCTCCTAAGAAAAGAATGGGAGCGGTACACAAAGATGAAGGTCACAAATACTCACTATGGTATTGTCTATAAGCACAACAAAGAGGAAACAACCTAAATGTACACCACTGGAGGGCAGCTAAATAGAATATGGCACTGCCAATCATTTCATCGAATATTACGCACTCATTAATTGTTTCAAGGTTGAAACAAAGACGAGTTCTTGCTAGGTTGCCCAGGCTGATTTCAAATTCCTGGGCTCAAGCAATCCTCTTGCCTCAGCCTCCCCAAATGCTAAGATTACAGGCATGAACCACTGCGCCCGGTCATGAGGATGAAATTTGGAATATTCGTGGCATGGAAAGATGTCCATGATATTAGCACGTGCAAGGATAGACTACAAAAATTACCCAAATTTTGTAAAACTGCAACCCACTTCCAAATGCTTACATAGATCAGAGTCTCTCAACTTTGACACTATTGACATTGTGAGCTGGATAAGCTGTTGTGGGAAGCTGTTCTGTCCATTGTAGGAGGGTTAGCAGATTCCCTGGCCTCCTTGCACCAGATGCCCAGAGCACCCATTCTCAGTTGTGACAATCAAAGTCACATGGAAAAAAATAATTAAATTTCTAAATTTGGGTGGTCCCCACTTATAGTTGCTTTCTGTTAAAAAAAACTGGAGCCAAGTGTGGTGGCTCATGCCTGTAATCCCAGCACTTTTGGAGGCCAAGGTGGGAAGATTGCTTGCCCGGGAGTTCAAGACCCCTAGGCAACATAGCAAGACCTCACCTCCACAAAAAAAAAAAAAAAAAAATCAAAAAATTAGCTGGGCATGGTGTGCCTGTAACCCCAGCTACTTGGGAGGCTGAGGTGGGAGGATCTCTTGAACCTAGGAGTTCAAGACCAGCCTGGGCAACATAGAGAGACCTCGTCTCAAATATAAAAATAAGAAGTTAAAAAATAAATAAAAAATAAACTTATAGAGGATGTTTGAGTTCCCAGCTCATCCCAAAAGCTTTATGACTCAGCGTGTTGCTGATACCCTAAGTGTGGCCTCAAGCCCAAGCCTTGTGACCCCCGAGTAAAGGGCAGACATGGTGAACCTGAGACAGACGTGTCAGAATGTACAATCAGTGACCCCGAGAAGCCCCTTCAATGTCACTGTGGATCTTTTACCTTCCTGGTACTATTTGGTGGTTGAAAAATGTTAGTTCCTCCTCCTTGGGTAATTGTATCAGACTAGAGAATTAGTAGGCACTTTATATAAATCACACAGAGGAGGGGCCCCCCAAAAACCTGGATGTATTTATAAAAAGTCATGTATTTATTCTTACATGTTTAAACTTTAGTCACCTTCAAAATATTCTGTTTGATGCAATACCCCTAATGAGATGCTTTTTCCACTGCTCAAAACAGGTTTTGAACTCGTCAATTTTGATGCCTTTTAGTGCTTCTGCCAGTTTTTGTTTCACCTCGTTCGCATTGGCAAAATGTTTCCCTTTGAGGACCTCTTTCATCCAGGGAAACAAAAAAAAAGTCGCCTGAGGTGAGATCAGGTGAATAGGGAGGGTGGGGCAGGGGGTCATGCCCTTTTTGGTCCAAAACTGCAGAACACTCAGTGAAGTGTGGGCGGTGCATTGTCACGGTGGAAGAACCAGTCGCCTGTTTGCCACCACTCAGGATGTTTCTTCTGCAAATCATGACGCAACCTTCTCAAAGCTTCCAGATAAAAACTTTGGTTGCTGAACTGTAGGAGTAAATTCTGAGTGTACTACAAGGGGCCAGCCCTCCAAAGCTAATTTCTTTTGTGTCTCTCCATGTGTGATCTCATTTCAAATATTATATATGTATATAAATGTTATCTCCATTACATATGAGAGGCATCTCAGATTCAGAGAGGTTTAGAAACATGCCAAGATCTCACCTAATACACTTGCAGATGCAGCGTGTCAAATTATGCAAAGCTACGATATTCAGAAACATACTTCAATTCCCTCTTATTTTCCATAATTGTTTCTGTTATTAAAGAAGGTTCTGAATTAATTATGTAAGACCAGGTTGCCTTTTGAACATAAAGTTCAGTTAGAATACAGCATTACACTTATATAAACATGAAAAACAAGTCTTTGTTTTCTTCTGTTTGATCTTGAAAAGGGAATTCCTAAGGAGTTTATTCCATTATAAGAGAGTTAAAGGTCATGGAACATATTGATGACTTTTTTTTTTTTTTTTAGAGATGGGGTCTTGCTATTTTGCCCTGGTTGACTTTAACTTGGTGGGTTCAAGCAAGCCTCCCACTTAGCTTTCTGAGTAGCTGGGTCACCACACCTGGCTATTTTTTTACACTAAACTGTTTCTCTCCTCCTTGGCCCAAACTCAGGGTTGCTGGACATCAATAACAACTAGATCTTCAGGGATGTGCATTGCGATAAAAATAGCTCTTCACTGGTGCCATCTTGCTTCGCTTCCAGCAAAGGGGGAAATGAAAAACTTGAAATTAGCAAGCTGTCCTTAAATGAGGACACACGAGTACTCCTTTCTTTTCTCCAGAAAAAGCCTTGGCGTCACTTTGTAGTGATCAGCTTCCTTGGGAATAGCAGGAGGGGGAGGCCGTTCTCTGGAGAGGCCGCAAGTGAGCCATCCTGGGAGGGGTGACCGGGCATGTGGGGTCATGTGGCTCTGTGGTTAGGAGGACTCAAGACTGGGTAAATGGGACCCGGCAGGAGGGAGAGGTGGGCCGAGCGGTGAGAGCCGGTTGGTTGGGAGCCGAGTGCAGTGGGGCATGACACAGGAATGCTGAGGGCCGGGTGTCACACTCCTGAGACCACCATCTCCCAGAACTCCACAATGGCAATGGGGGAGTCCTGGAGCCAGCAGAGTTGCATCCAAGTAGTTGTGTGACCTTGAATGAATGGTTTGCTTCTCTGAGTCTCGGTTTTCTCACCTGTAAAATGAGGTGCATGGGAGCCTGCCTCCAGGGACTACTGGGAGGGAGTTCTCCATGAAGTCATGTTTCACGGTGCTCACGAGGGGGCTGACATGGCTAAGTCGGAGGCAGAGAGCCTCTGAGAAACATCTGAGAGAGACCGTGGGGGAAGCAGCAGCCAGTGGCGTGGGGCGTGGAGACAGGAGAGGGGGAATGGGCACATTCCTCAGACAGAGCCTCCGACCCTTGCCCTTGAAGCACAGTTGGCCTTCGGGCGATTTCCAGAAACTGTGTGGCTTTTTTTGTCCCATGGCAGCACCCCCAGCAGCAAGTTTTCCCCAGTGGGGACCTGCAGGGACAGCCTGGGCCCTCTAGCTGTTGAGGCCACCACCCGCTGTGGAGTCATTGCTGTGGAGTCATCCGCCGGGGAAGGAGTGTGTGGTGGAAGGGATGATGGGAGGGGGTTGGCAAGGGTGACGGCTTTATGGGGGCTGGCAGGACAGCCCCAGAAGCACAAGCTGGGGGGGCCCTTTGTCCCCAAGGACTCTCCCAGCCCAGGCACCCCTAGTCTGGATGGTGTCTTCCGATAGGACTGTGGTCACCCAGACCCTGAGGCTTACCGGGCAGCAGCAGGCGGGAGTTGTGCTGGGAGCGGCAGGCCAGCCTCCGGGCCAGCAACAGGGAGGCCATGGCCCTTGCCTTCAGGAACAGAGAGCCCTGTGCACGCCGCCCTGAAAGAAACCACAGACTCAGACTAAGGCCCAGGAAGACCATTCCCTGCTGGCCAAGACTCCCACTCCCCACCCTTCCCCGCTGAGTGGAGAAGGGTCTTCTGAAATCAAATCCTTTGCTTTTTACACTTCAATCTAAGAGCATATTATACTGAATACATACTTTAACCCATATGCATTGTTTTTTGAGTTGGAGCTCACTCTGTTGCCCAGGCTGGAGCGCAGTGGCACGATCATGGCCACCGCAGCCTTCAACTTCAGGGCTCAGGCGATCTCTGCATCTGCCTCCTGAGTAGCTGGGACTACAGGCGAGCGCCACCATGTCCAGCTACTTTTTTGATGTTTTGTAGAGATGAGGCCTTGCTATGTTTCTCAGGCTAGTCTTGAACTCCTGGGCTCAAGTGATCCTCCTGCCTCAGTCTCCCAAAGTGCTGGGATTACAGGCATGAGTCACCACACCCAGACTCATATGCATTTGTATTTGAGAAGTAGCTGGGACTACAGGCGAGCGCCACCATGTCCAGCTACTTTTTTGATGTTTTGTAGAGATGAGGCCTTGCTATGTTTCCCAGGCTAATCTTGAACTCCTGGGCTCAAGTGATCCTCCTGCCTCAGTCTCCCAAAGTGCTGGGATTACAGGCATGAGTCACCACATCCAGACTCATATGCATTTGTATTTGACCTTTTCTAGGCCCCATGCCCATTTTCTAGATGGAAAGACTGAGAAAGGGAAGAGTTGGTTTGAGATTCCTCTGTGAGGGATGAAGTTCTCAGACGGCAGAAACATAAGCGCTAATGTCACAGTGGCCACTTGATGTGGGGGGCTGGGAGTCTCCTCTGCTCCACTTCTGCACAGAATATCCACCACTAGGCTCTCCAGGAATTTCTTGGGCACCCACGGGAGATCTGGTCACCCATTCTGGGGGATGTAGGGCCCAACCACAACCCCTATCCTGTTTTGCTTGGGACGGAGAGGTTCTGGGGATGTGGCACTTCCCATGTGGAAACCAGGACAGTCCCAGGCACATTGGGATGGTCACCCCAACCCCAGGAATCCGGGTTCCCAACTCCCATTCCACAAGGGTTGATTCTCTCAGACCTTCCCCCAAACCCCGCCCTCAAGGCCCTGGGCCCCGCCCTGCTGGCCCGGAGCACAATTTCCCACCCTCAGTTTTTTTTTTTCGAATTGGAGTCTCAC